ATAAACCATACTTCCTTCTCAAGGTCTCAGTACTTTGTTCATAGTCATAAAGTTAATAATCATATTGATTTTTACTTACTACTTCTAGTAGGAAGATAAGGGCACATTTCTAGCAGGAGATGCTATTTTTATATCCCTCTACCCTTGTGATCTAGCTACTGCTCAGTATATGGTAGAAGCGCTAAAATGTCTGAATAAGTTCAAGAGCCAGAGCTCTTGGTTGCTCAGAGGACTAGAGTGCTCACTCTTCCCTAACTGCATTCAGAGCTATAGTTAGATAATCACTAAGGAGATGCTGTCAGGAGGATTACGATTGTAGGTGATTTAGCTAGATTGCCTTTTAAGCCCCCTCTGACCCAAAGCTCTGAGATTTCAAAAGTGCTATGAAGAATATATATTGTCCTAAGAAGGTAGCCCTTTTCAGTTTCTTCACTCTCTAAAAAGAACCATTTCAGAAATTCTTAGATAAGAATAAATATCATTTTTGTCATTTATTCCAACTGTTACAGTTATGACTAAGAAGTAGCATCTAAAATCAGAGAATGAAACATTGCCCTTAAAAATAAAATTGAGAAATAAGAGTCAGAAAATAAGTGTGCCTTGTTACACATAGATTAAAATCTCTTTAAGAAGGGATGAAAATAGACAAGAGCCAAGGCAACTAGGTATTGCAGGACAGATAGGGTGAACTGTTAGAAGCCTATGTTAAGATGAAAACACGGAAGACATAAAGGGACAAAATAAACAGACTAACACAACGACGAAAGGCACTGTGACTAAACCTCATATCCATATGAGGAAAAGTGGGTAATATTAGTTGTCCAACAAAGTGAAGGCAGATAATTGACCATGTGGATTAGTTCTTGAGATATGAGACCACTGAAGAACTTGAGTAGAAAGGTGAGAAAGAAGTGGATAAACCAAACCAGTCAAGCCTGGAAGAATACTGCATGCAGGATGGATGTGAAGAGAGAGTTATTATTGTAAAGCAGGATCACTGGGAAGGTATTATAGTCAGGTAAGCTTCAGGAGTCAAGTGTCTGTCCTGGAGATGGGGTCATGAACATGGTAACTGAGGAAGTAGAAGATGAGTCAGTCCAGCTCAAAGGACCTGAAAAGGGAATACAGAAGGCCTGAGGATGTAATTTGATCACAGAACTATGTACTTAACATATATGAAGCCTGGTGTTTATTCTCTAGCACATCAAAAAATACTAAGGATGTATAGAAGCTAAAAGAAAAGGACATGATTGGAGATGTAGCTCATTTGGTAATGTTCACCTAGCATGCATGAAGCCCTGGGTTCCATCACTAGCAATGCATGAAAACAAAATTGGGTGTGGTGACACAAACCTGTAATCCTAGCACTCAGGAAGTAGAGGCAAGAGGATCAAAGATCAAGATCATCCTTGACTACAGGGTGACTTCAAATTCAGCCTGGGCTATGTAAGACCATGTCTAATAATTAATTAATTAATTAATTAAATAAATAGAGAAAATAATGGATCAAAAGATGGAAAATATGGTATCCAAGAAAAGAGTCAAGGAACTGAGAAATCTGCAGTCTATAAGAGCAAAATATCCATGAAAAGATAAACTATGGCATATGAGTTTAGAGGAAGGAAAAGATTCAACTTAAAGAGCTTTCTGTAGATAAGGGAACACTGGAATAATAGAATAAGAAAGAAATACAGCAGAGACTCAAGGTGATTTAAAAAATGGAAAAAGTATGATTAATAGATGATAAAACTTTAGGATTCAATAGTATCACAGAAAACATGGAAAGGGTTTCCCCTCACACAGGATAAAAATTAATTAGATGGGCGGATAGAAAATAGGGTATTATGGTTGTTGGAAATGTTCTGTCTTTTATTTTTGATGGAAATATTCTTTGTACAAAGACAAAGCCTTCTAAATATGAATCAATTCTCAGCAATGTCATTTAGAATATGTCCTCTTCTGAGAGCTACGAGGCAAATGCTAATTATTGGCCAGAGTATAGTTGCATAGGTAGCATGATAAGAGTATGTACATCCTAACAGGCAAGTTTTAAGGAACATTCCAAAGCATTTAAAATTCTCTTTTTTGAGAAACGCAAACCCATGCTTTGGAGTGTATTTAACTTCCTTCCAGATTGCCACAGTTCCTTAACCCTTGTGCTTAAAATCTATGTTAATAATATTACTGTAAAACAATCTTCCAAATCAGCTTCAATAAATACATAGATTTGATTCAGGAGCTGGAAGGAGTGGCCTTTACCTTTAATCCTAGAGCTTGAGAGATAGAAACAGGAGGATCAGGAGTTCATGGCAGCCTTAACTACAGACAAATGTAAAATGTGAAGCCCCTGTGTCCAAACAACCTGTGTGAAAACAAAGAAACAAAGGGACTATATCATGGGATTCATACCATGGGATATGGCCATGCCTACATAAAGAGATGTGCTGTGGAGAGCACAAGAATACTCTCACTCATTTATGAAACATACAGCCTGTATCTAATGCCTGAGTCAGACAGGCATCCACAGCTATGCTAGTTATAAATCAACTAGCATAGCTGTGGATGGCAATCCAAAGACAGGAATCTTTCTAGTCAGTTTGGCTCCTAAAATCTCTCAGATCTGACTGGTGTAATTGATACTAAGGAAAACCAAATCCTTTTTTCCCATTGTTTCTGGCAAACTGAAAGTTGGTGTCTGAAATAAGTAAGTATACTGAGCAAAAAATGTTCTCTATGCCCCCTACCAAAGAAATGAACTAATTAATAATTCCCAGGAATAGGTACAAATATTTTGTGGGGCTTCATATAAGTTGGATGCTCTCTCTAAAAAAAATAAGAAACCAATACCTCAGGTATGGTATCATACAAGAATAACCCCAGTATTTTGAAAAAGAAGCAGAAGGATTAGAAGCTCAAATCCATTCTAGATACACAGGGATTTCAAGTATAGCCTATGCTACATGAGACCCTGTCTCAGTCCAGCACCACCACAAAATAAAAGAAGACAGCAAAATTGTAACATGACTCAGTGTGTAGCTGGTAATTTATTTAGAATGAAACCAGAAGGGACCTCAGGTTTTTAAGATTCACCAGCTACATGCTAAATACACTTCTGTTGATGACAAAATATTAGCAGTCAAGTGTGAAAATGGAGACAGATCAAACAATTAGACAAAAGAAAAACAAGCCAGGACTCCGGGAGGCACCTCACTTGATAGAGGTCTTGCCTACCAGGAATAAAACCCTGGGTTGATCCTAGCACTACACAAAGCAGGCATGTTATCCCACATCTGCAATCTGAGCACTTGGTAGTTGGATGCTAGAAAATCAGAAGTTCAAGTTCATCCTTGGCTACATATTCTGTTGGATGCCATCCTGAGATACATGGGACATGGACTCATAAAATTTTAAAAAGTCAGGCAGGAGAGACTTTAGCGGCTAATGCTTATACTCACAACAAAACATCAAAAAACTTTAAAAAGACAATGCTTTCTTTGAGGAACACACTGGAGACAAACCAAGAAAAGGACAAGAATAAAGTCCAAGCACAAAAGAAAATGTGATATGGTGTTAATCAATTTATACTACATATTATCATATTTATATTCCAGTGATTAACAAATCACATTGCTTCTACAGTACTTGCCTAGAAGGACCAGGATTTTGGAAACACCAATCCACTAACCTGTAGATACTCAACAAGTATTTGTTGAAGGAAGGAACAAAAGAAGGAAAAACTGAGAAATGCTACTTTTTCTAAGTCTTCACCAGAATCTGCTTCTCCCCCTCTGATCCTTCAGCAGAAATGCATTCTATTGCTGCCACTGGCTAGAACTACCAAAGCAACAACTCATACTAATCTGGTGATTAAGATTGTTTTCCATGAACAGGATAAATTAATATATAAGCACATCTATGGTCTACTCAAAAGGGACATACAATAAAATGGATAATTTGGACCCACCCTATTTATTCCCTTTTCTGTCTTCCTCTTTCTAAGGTAGGTTTGGCAGATGTGTCTCTGAAATTATTAACAGTTGAGGGAAAGGCGACACTTCAGCTTGGGCTTCTACCTAGAGCCAAATAATAATCCCTAAAATTTTCCAATATGAGGATATAAGTGGCAATTTAATATACAAATATTGAAGAGGTTTCCAGGAAAACAGAGAAGCTCATGTACCTCTTACTTGATGAAACATCCAAGCCAGGACCTCAGGACAAGGTGCAGGCAGTGTAGCTGTTAACCAAGATACTCACTCCCTGACTTGCCCTCAGCTCCTGCTTTATTTAGAGATTCCCTTTGGGCAACAAATACCCTATACTTTTATTCAAGTTCTGAAAAAAACATCAGGAGTATGTTGAATCTTACAGCTCCTTAAAAAATTACCTTTTCCCAAAGGATTCTGCCTCCTTATTTTTTACCTACTCAAATTTTCTAAGGAATGGTACTTTGGAAGAGAGCAGAACTCCTACTACTTCAACAGTACAGCCATCCCTCCATTCGCGGATATTCTGTTCAGAGGAAGGGGTGTGAAATCAGGGAGGCCAAGCAACCACCTCAAGAATGCCAAGTGAAGGTCTTAAATGGAAGAAAACAGCTCTGTAGCTTCCCAGGGAGGCGATTAGACCTCGGGAGAGTTACTGAAACTCTCAAACCACAGATTCTTGGTTTTGTAAAATAGCAGATATGCTGCCCACCCACAAGACTGTTGAGAGGACAGAGGAAACTCACTTAATATGCTAAATGTAACTACACAGCAAGAGCTAATTAATCATTAGTGTTTAGTAGTAGGAGTCAAATTATTTTGTCTCCCTCCACCAATGCATACCACCAAGCAAAGGGACCAACCCCCGCTCCCATCTGGCAGGATCTGGGGCCCTGCCATAGGAACATTCTCACAGGCAGGAGAAAGACCCTGCCAAACACAGCAAGAATATTGCAAGTTCCCTATCCTGGTCATCCAGGGCCCCTTAACCTACTGTTAAAGATCCAAACTGACCTGAGATGCCGCCTCCAATCACGACTACGTCGAACATGTGGCCTGTGATATTAGGCTTCTCCAGATTCGTCATGATTTGGGTGAGATTCTCCGAAGACTTTGGCTTAAAAGGGGTGACCGCCCCGGGTGAAACAGACCCTTGTACCGCCCCTTGCCTGGTGTCCAGGGGCGGAGCCGATGTTTCTACCCATACCCGGGGGGAGCCCGGCTCTGAGGGCGGAGCGGGCCCTTGTGCAGTGACAAGGGGAGAGCTCAGGGGCGGAGCTGATCCTTGCTGAGATACCCAGGGAGAGCCCAGCTCACAAGGCTCGAAAGGCCCTAGTAAAGGAACTGAAGGGGCGTGGCAAGAAGGCCCCTGCATCAAACCCCCGGGGTTACACAGTAAGGAAGTTTGTGACACAGGTTCTGAGCTATCGAACCCCAGAGGTCTTTGTAATGGCAGCTGGAAAGGGAAAATGTGTGCCGGTGATGCTGTGGATAACCAAGCAGAGACAGACATAGACTGCCTGGGGAAGACTTCTGTCGACACCACTGGGGTATTTTCTGGAGTGTCAGGTAGTGGTAACGAAGGCAGGGACATGTTACTTTGTACAGGATATTCAAGTGGCAACCCCCAGGAATAGCTAGACAATGGAGATGGAATGGAACCATCTACCGACCCTCCGGGAGTGCTGATCTTTGAGGCAGGAATAGACCCTAGTTCTGACTGTACAGAAGTGCTAAGTATTGAAGCCACTGAAGACATTTGCCCAGAAGTCACCAAGGACCTGTGCGCAAAGTATCCGGATGAATCCGGGAGTGGGATGGGTCCTCGTAGAGATAAGCGCTGGGAGATGGGGGAATCCGCGGCAGGTCTGGGGACCTGAGCGCTCTGGCTGTGGACGTTTAAGTCCCAGGAACAAGACTTTGAGTTGGGGCCATTGCTCGGGCTAGAATCATCTTTGAGCTGAGGGAGGCTGGTGGAAATTAAGGAATCAACCAGCTCCTGAATGGACTTGGTCGTCTGAGGCGAGGATAAGGATTGGGAGGCGGTCTGCCACTGAGAATTGGACACCTCGCTGGAGCTGCTAGAGGTGCTTTCCAGGCGAGATGCGCCCTCAGGGGTCAGGGTAGGGTTAGCCCGGAGTTCGGGGGCCCATTCCACCTCGCGGACCCTGGTTCTGCGGCTACGCGTGCCGTCGCCTAAGGGGAAGACGGGCTTATTTTCGGACATAATTCTCCCAGCGGCGGGACGCCGCGAGTGACTACCCTGAACCCTCCCCTCCACAGCGCTGGGCTGTCAGGGCCCAACCGTTACCAGTCCGAGGCCCAACCCAAGCGCCCGGCCCCCTGGGAGGCGGGGAGACGAGGCGTCAGCGTTGACGCGGGGCGACTCCGCCTCTCCCGCCCACGGGCGATACTTATACTCGGCCCTCAGGGTTCGGACGATACCACCGCGAACAGGGGGGGGGGGCGCCCGTGAACGAGCCCGCGCGCGCGCTGCTGCGGATTCTTAGCCTGCCGCTTTCATGGTGCCCTTTCAAGTCGCGGCATGTGAGCCGAGGCGGGCTCCAGAAAGCGTATATGTAAAGGAGAAAAACCCCGAAGGACGAAGTAACAAAACGCCGCCTAGCTCACTTTGGTTTCGCCCTATGGTGACGTAGAGGGGGGCGGAGCCTGCCGCGCAGCCGCACACCTTCCTTGGGCGGGGGCGGGGGCGGGGGCGAGACGGGGCGGGACTGGGGGGGAGGGAAAGCCGGCAAACTGCCTGAGCTAAAACCCTGGCCCTGCTGTGTTTTCCGTGGTGTGTTTTTGGGCAGACGTAGTTTGGTACCAGAGTCCAAACAAGTATGCGAGAAAAATGGCTCAGCTACGGCAAATTAAGTGGTAGCGAAATTTAAAAATGAAAGCTAAAGGATGTTTAAGGTGCAAATAAAAAAAAAAGAAAAGAAAAAAAATTTGTGCGGCCGTGTAGAGGATAGTGCCACATTCTTGTAATCTAAGCATTCTGGAGGTCAAGAAGGAAAGATTTCCGGCCTAAGCTACCGTGTGAGTTCCAGGCCTTAGGGGTGGGGGTGGGGAGAAGGCTAACTAGTTCCTTCACTTGTTAAGACATCTTCATGGATTTTGTGAAACAGTCCAAATTCATAAATATACCTATGTTGGTTGTAAATCAGCTGAAAGGAGTAAACAGCAAAAACTACCACTTGCCATCAAGCATTTAATGCTTTCTTTCCACAAGAATTCTGATTAGCAAATCACAGAACAGTCCAAACAGCTGGGTTACAGCTGTTCTCTCTAGTCTTTCAAGTGATACTTTAGGTCTAAGGGAACAGGATTCTGTTTGCAGCCTTATACCTCATAGAAGCAAAGTATGTTTTATAATAATAAAATAATAATAATAATGCAGGTTAGCAGTCATCACACTTCAAAGAAAGAAATTATGCTGGTATCAGTAATTTATAGCTTTTTAGAATGTCTCAGTGCAGATACTACTTAGCAATCAGAAGTCACTTTTGCTGTAAGTAATGTCACCAAATAAAATTGAAACAATTTGAGTATTAAAAAGAATTGAAATGGGGTCAGAGAGATAGTTCTCCATAGATAAAAGATCTTGGTGCCAAATTTGCTAATCTGAGTTCAAGCCTCAGGACACAAATGATAGAGGAAAGAAAGAATTCCTACAAACTATCCTCTGACCTTTGAATGTGCACTGTGGTATAGGTGTGCCCCACCATACACAAAATAAGTAAGCAAACATAATTTTTAAAAACAATTATGAGGCTTGCTATGGTGCCATATACCTATAATCCCAGCACTCCAGAGGCTAAAGCAGAAAGAGTGTGTTTGAGATTAACCTAAACTATATAATGAATTCTCTAGTCCAGCATGGGCTATAGTGTGAGACCTTATCTCATAACAGAAACAAAAATGATGATGAGTCTTAGTAAGAAAACCACAAAGCCCATTGTGCCACACCAATGTGTTTCAGCTCTGTATCCCTGTTACAAATAAAGAGAAAGGGCTTAAAAATGGTGGCTTAGCAGTAAAAGGTTTTGACACACAAGCCTAAAAGCCTAAATTCAGTCCATGGAGACCATGGTGAAAGGTGAGAAACTGCCCCTGAAACTTGTTCTCTGATCTCCATAACTATGTCATGGCGTGCAGTCATCAGTGTACACACACACACACACACACACACACACACACACACACACACACACACACACACAAATAATGAATGAAAGTGGGAAGTTCTTCTTTACAAAAAGTGTCAAATAGTCAGCATACAAAGAAATGGCTGCTTTTGTATTTTGTTTTGTTTTATTAAGACATGGTGCCATTGTGCAGCTCCCCCTGCTGGAGTAGAACTTACTATGTAGATTAGGTTGACTTCAAACTTGAGGTGATCTTCCCAAGTGCTAGTATAAGTAATAAATCTCCTTTTAGGTGGAGATGCTTTGTTTTCTCCATGCTCATGTTTCCTGCCCTAAGGATCAATTCAGTGGGACAGGTCAGGGACCCCAGAAAAGTGCATTCACCTTAAGATAATGCTAGTACAGTTAGGACAGGGAATAATATTCTTATTCTCAGGAGATGAAGGTTGAAGTTCTTTGAGGTAGAGCATATATTGTTATTGATGTTGAACAGAATGTCTTTTAACTGTTGTATAGGTTAAAATTTTTCAGCATCAAGTATTGGGGCAAACAGTTTAGAGCATTTTGAATTAAAAAGTATTGACCAGTATGTTACTAATTATGATGAAAAAAATAAATGATTCATTCAAGCAGAAAGAGTGATAGAGAAAGAGGAAGAAGAAAAGAAAAGGCAGAAAGACCACTTTACCTCTCTTTCTGAACAGAACCTAAGGATATACTCAGCTTTAAAAATGGACTTGGAGGGGTTGCAGACATGGCCAGCAGTTAAGAGTACTGGCTATTCTTCCAGAGGACCTAGGGTCAATTCCTAGCACACACATGGCAGCTTACAACTGTCTGTAACCCCAACTCCAAAGGATCTGACACCCTCACACAGAAAAACTATGAAAAAAATAAAAATGGACTTGCTAACCAGTGGAATATGAAAATGGCCACCGCTTAGCAATCTGAAAAGTAAACAGAACAAATACTATTGAATATAATTTTAAAATATAGTGAATTTCAAATGAGAAATAGAATAAATAAATGAGAAGAAATTAATAATATAATATAGAAAATTATCCTGATCTAAGTCAGGCATGGTAGTAATCCCAGCACCAGAAGCTGAGGCAAGCAAATAGGGAGTTCAAGGCTAGCCTGGGCTATATAGCAAATATTTGAAAAAACAAAAATCTATGTGGGGCCTAGTGGCACAGACCTGTAATCTCACTATTTGGGAGTCAGGGACAAAAAGATTGCCACTTCACGACTTCCTAAGCTACAGAATAATTTTGAGGCAAGTCTGGGCAACTTACCTCTGTCTCAAGATAAAAACAAAAGGCCTGAGATCATATCTCAGTGATAAAGTATTTGCCTAGCATTATGAAATTCTTGGTTTAATATTCATACCTAACACACACACACACACACACACACACACACACAAAATTGGAAGGAAGGGTAGGAGGAAGGAAAGGAGAAAAAAAGAAAAGTGATGACATTCAGAATATACTACCTCAAAATATACACCTTTGGCATTTCATTTGAGAAAGCAAGAAGGCCCTGGTTTCCTTCCTTTTGCCCAGTGTTTCTCAACCTTCCAAATGCTGTGACCCTTTATTAAAGTTCCTCATGTTGTGGTTACCCCAAACATAAAATTATTTTCGTTGCTACTTTATAACTGTAATTTTCTACTGTTATGAATCATAATGTAAGTATCTGATGTGCAGGATGTCTGATATGTGACCCCTGTGAAAGGATCATTTAACCCCCAAGACATCTTGACCCACAGGTTGAGACCCACTGCTTTATTCCTTCTCCGTTGATTTAGGTTTTAAGAACTGCATTTGACCAGCACCAGGAAACCTGGAGAGATGACTGAGCAGTTAGGATCACTTTCCACTATTCAGAGGATGTGGGTTGGGTTCTCAGCACCCACATCACAAACACTTGGTCTGTGACTTCAGTCCCAGGAGATCTGATACCTTCTTCTGTCTTCTGTGGGCATCCGCACATATGGTGTATAGTCTTGTAGACACACACATACACATAAACAAAAAATAAAATAAACCTTTAAAAAAAGAACATATTTTTAAATAGGTGCCCTCTTTTTTGTTTTGTTTGTTTTATTATTTATACAGTG